GAGCGGAGTGAGGACAGGCGGCCGGGGGTCTTGGGGGGCTGTCCAGGCCCACAGGCAGGGGTGGAGCCATTCCCGGGGGGCGGGGCGGGCCCACCGGAAAGGGCGGGTTACCGCGCGGGGTGGGGCCGTCCGGGAGGCGGATGTGGAGGGGTGGGGCCATTCCCCAGGGGGCGGGGCCTCCTGGAGGTGCGGGGTGGGGCCATTCTCCAGGGGCGGGGCCGTCCTCAGCAGGGCGTGCTCCGGCCGGCGCAGGTCTGTGGGACTCGGTCGTCCCAGCGCATCTCGAAGCTGGCCTACCACCAGGGCGTGGTCATCGTGACCTGTCCCGGCTGCCAGAACCACCACATCATCGCCGACAACCTGGGCTGGTTCTCCGACCTGGACGGGAAGAGGTGAGGCCGCCTGCGCGGGGTGGGCGTGGAGGCCTCTCATCCAGCAAGACAGCCCGGCCCCACCTGGGCAGCCCATTCTCCTTATCAATACAGGTCGCACAGTTAAATGTGAATTTCATGTAAACCAGGAACAGCTTTTTAGCGTAACTATGGCCCAAATATGGGGCATATTTTTATTTGCTAAATCTTGCCACCCCCGGCCAGCCCCCTCTGGTCCTGCTGGGCTGCCTGACCTCTGCCCTTGGGGCACATCCCGGCCATGGCCTTGCCACTTCCTGTCGTGGTGCGTGCTGTGGTCCTCTGACGACTTGGGGCGGTTGACCCACAGCAGGATGTGGGGGTTTGCATCCAGCGGTGTGGACTGGGCCCTGGCCTGCCTGGGGGGCACTTGGGCTTCTGAGATCAGCTTCTCTCTGAGGATGGGTGGGAACAGCGGTGCCTGGCAGAGCCTTGGAGGTTCTGCGAGGTCAGCATGTGGGTGGTCAGCATGCTGCCTGGCCTGCCAGACCTCGGGCTACACTGAGAACCTCTCCCCTTCTGACATGTTGGGGGTGGGAACGGGTCTGCTGGGGAGTGGTCACTTGGTGAGAGACTGGGGCTGAGGTGCCTTGTCAGTGGATCCGCCCTGCACTGTTCCAGATGAGGCCCTTTCTTTATTTCTTGGTTCCCCAAGTGGCACTTACAGATGTGGGGTTGGTGAATGTGCACCAGGCCAGCCACCTGAGGTGCCCATGTGGCCCTGACGCCACGGGAGTGCTACACTGGCTTGAGGCTGGCCCCGGAGTGCCCAAGGATCCAAGGTGCAGATTGGGCCTTGGGGCCAGAGAGTAATTCCGCCCCCATTTCTCAGGAATATCGAAGAGATCCTGGCGGCCAGAGGAGAGAAGGTGCGCCGCATGGCTGGCGAGGGGGCCCTGGAACTGGTTTTGGAGACTGCAGGGGCCCCCGAATCTACTGCTGCTCTGGAAGGGGGTGAGGACAAGGATCCCACCCACCCTGGCAAAACAGAGTTGAGTTGACTCCCGCCTTCGTGGAACTCCTGCCTTCCAGAAAGATGCTCCATTGGCTGTGGGCCTCTCTGGACGTGGCCTGTTTTCCATCAATAAACAGACATTGCTCCAGGTGCTGGGCCCACAGCTCTTGTGTGGTTTCTTTTTCTGGAGTCAGAACGACTGCCACAAACCCCTGGGTGCTGCTGGGTATGCCTTCTGCACTGCAGGACCCCCGGGCCTACCCACTGTGCCTCTTCTGTGCAGAGGGTCGCCCTGTGCTTCCCCACAGTAGGGTCAGCACAAATGGGCAGAGGGCTGGAAACGGGTCAGAACTATTCTTGGCTGTGGCCGTGTGGCTGTGGGTAGGTCACTTTGCCCCTCAGAGCTTCCACCTTCCTCTTGTGCCACCTGCTGTCCACCATGAGCCAGTACAGACCTCAGCTCTGTGTCTCGGCCACTGGTGAAACAAAGTGAGCAAACCGGGCTGCTTGCTGTGGCCACGGATGGGCAGGCATGGGGGGCTGCATCTCAGAGCGTGGGAGGGGAGCCGGAGCCAGGGCCGAGGGCCGGAGCCTCAGACCCCTGGGGCTTTTCTGCATCGTGTGTGATTTGTCTCCCAGGCTTGACTTGCTCTCAGGATGTTCCTGTTTATGAAAGTGAGTGAGTGCAGGAGCGTGTTTATTTCCAGGAGTGTTCTGGACTGTGTGACCTTCAATGTTTATCATCAGCCAGTCGGGCAGGGAAGAGACGCGGGGCGGGGAGAGGGTGGGAGATGGGCGGCTGAACTGCATGCAACGGGTGACGCAGCCCCATCAGGGACGAGCTGGCGATGACTGCTCACATCCAGCCGGGGGAGGTGGGCGTGCTGCACTGTTCCCGGTGTCTGCAGCGTGCACTTTGACGCCATCACCCTGTGCTTTCCTTAGCAGACAACCCACTATTATTCCCGCTGAGAGCCTCCTGTGCCATCTGTGGGACTGTCCTCCTCCTCCAGGCCGAGCCAGCCCCCACCCTGGCCTTTATGAAGGGCACCGAGGCCACGGGGGCATCAGCTGGGGCTTTCCTGGGGGCCTCAAAATGCAGGAGGCTGGTGGGCTGGGTTTGGCCGGGCAGACCTCGTTCTCAGAGCTCCAGAGCTCCATGGGCCACCTCAGACAAGTGGGCTCTCGTGATGGCTTCCCACGTGGGCTGCGCCCTCACCCCTTGCCTCTTCCTCCCTCTCTTTCCCATCTCAGGAGAATTGATGGCCGCCCCTGCGTGCCCTGCCATGTCTTGCCAGCTCCTGACTTCAGAGTCCCCTCAAGATTTTCCTCCCTCCCTCCCTAGTGCCACCCTCAAGCCAGGCCTCTGGGAATGGCTCATCTGCCTCCACTCCTCACCCTCCCACCCCTCCAGGACATCTGGCCTCCAATGGTCATGGTGGGCGCATAGGGGAACAGAGGGCTCCAAGATCCAGGCCCAGCCTGGCTGTGATAGTCACTAGGAGTGGTGGTCAGCAGCCACTCCTGCCTCCAGCCTCAGCTCCCAGGCCCAGGCGCTTCTCCTGGGGTTGGCTGCTGGGCTGGGGTGGATGCTGCACCCCGCGGGAGGCCCTCCGTGGTTGCAGGATGCTGTCCTTCGTGCTGGTTCCTCAGCTGCGTCCTTGCAGGCCATTTCAAGGCGATAACTGTGGGGTACACATTGTCCTGGCTCTCGGCTGCATGTGCCATGCTACCAGGTGGCCCTTGTCCTGACAGTGTGCATTCTGGCGAGACCCCGGCCCAGGAGCATGTGTTGGTTCCCCTCTGAAGACAGCCCCTTGCAGAGAGGCGGAGGCTGACAGAGTCAGCTTGGTGCAGGCTGCTGGTCAGTGCCATGCCTGGCTCAGTAGGGCAGGCCATGCTGTTGGTGACTGCTAGCTAGATGGGACTTGGTGAGTGGGAGCCCGGGCGTGGAGCCCCTGGTAACCTTTGGCCCCCGCTGCCCGATCTCACCTGGCTGAATCATCCCACCTGCCTGGTGGTCCCACTAGATATTCACTAGTGACACAAAGATCTTAATGTTGGCCTGGCTGGTTAGCTCAGAGCGTGGTGCTGATAACACCGAGGCCCAGGGTTCAGGTTCCTGTACCAGCCAGCTGCCAAAAAAAAAAATCTTCATGCTGTGTGGCCACTCCCTTCTGCAAGCTCCTCCTGTGACCACCGTCCCAGCCCCATCCTCCCCACCTTTCTCCCTCCATGCCCTGCCCACCAGCCAGGCCACTGGCCCCTGCCACACGTCTGTGTCTGTTCTGACTCTGCCCTTCTCTTTGTGATCAGGGTCAGTGAGCAGGTGGGCCGCAGCTGCCGTGCCCAGCTCTCAGCTCTCTGCCTGGCACTCCTAGTGCTGCCACCATAGGTGTGAGCAGAGGGGCAGACGCTGGCACACAGCCGGCTCCTACTCCACCTGGAAAGTTCTGCCCACCCTGCACAGACTGCTCCTCGGTCCCCAGCCTGTGACCTGGAGTCACAAGCCCAGCTTGTGCAAGGCTGGGGCTGCCTCTGACTTGGCAGCAGCCTCCTGCGCATGAGCCAGGGCCCTCAGGACAGAGGCAGTGTGGGCAGCTGGTTGGCCGCCGGCGTCTCTCCGGGCCTAGGTTTTGGCTGGGCGGTCGCTGTCAAGAACGTGAGTGTATAAGATGCTGCGCAGGATCTCAGGCCTCAGCACGGGGTGCTCTGCGTTTCCAAGGCCAGCGCTTCCGAAGCCAGAGTCCCCTCCTCCCGTTTTCCTCCCCTGGACCGTGCCTGCCCCTCCCTCCAGACACATCCCCCTGAGCTTGTCTCCCGGGTGGGGCACCCTGAGCAGACCAAGGCAGGAAATCTGTGAAGTGGGCTTGGGTCGGCCTGGCCTGAGCCCCAGGGTGCTGAAAGTCTCCCAGAGAGGGCGTCTGTGTCCTAGGCACAGTTCTGGGCCTTGGGACCTGGAGGCAGGACAGTAGTGTCCAAGCCCCTCCTGTGAGTGGGGAGGCAGGGCGTTGGGTCAAGGCCCGGGAGCCAGTAGGGGTGACCCTGCTAGCACATGCCAGCTGTCCCTGGGACGTGAGCCCTGTGGGGGTGCCGCCCACCACACATAGCGTCGAAGACAAGCCCCGGGGCTGCCTGAGACACTGAGTGCCTCCATGGTGCCTGTACCAGCCATACCCAGATCCCTGTGGGACTGAACTCCTGGGACAAAGCCCTCCTTTGGTGGGGGGCAGCAGCGGGCTGCTTGGGAACCCCACGGCACACGCAACTGTCACGGCATCAGAGCATCGCGTTCGGGTGCTGCCACTGTCCCCAGGAGGTGGGAAGACGAGGCGGGAGGGGCGTGGGATTTGTGGTGAGGGCTCTGGCTTGGGAGACACAGGCTCCAGTGGCAGGTGGCCGCCTAAGGCTCGGAGCCCCAGCTCCCCCATCATTAACCGCAGCAGGGACCCCTGTCCCCAGAGGCCTCCAGGGACCAGACAGTGGATGTTGCGGGGTGGTTTGAGCAGAGCAGCCTGAGCCCCAGAAGGACCCCCTCAGCACTAATCCTGGCACAGACAGCATTCACTTTTCAGACTTTATTTTTCAGGAAAAACAATCAAACGTACCTCTTGGGCTGGGAAGGACCCCATTGAAAACATGGCAAACACGTGTGGGCAATAAATACGCATGTACATTCAAGTATGCGGGGAGGCCACTGCGTCCCCGAGACCCTGTGCTCTGGCATCTGCCCCTGCCCTCGGCTGTCACCCCTGCCTCTTCAGAAGTGGGGTCACCATGCTGAGCCTGAGGCTGGCCCTCCAGCCTCCCTCGCCCCCCAGCTCCCAGGCTGTGCCATGGGGCAGGAGTCCAGGCTGCCTCCCCAGGCTCGGACAGGAGGAGCCGGAAGCGCCATCCTGAGGGGGCTGTGGGCTGCATGGCCCTCGGGGCTCTCCAGAAGGGCTGCCTGGGGGCCCCACAGGAGGTGGGCCGAGGCAGGGGTCTGGGCAGGAGCAGATGGCCCTGGTCCCCCAAGGGGGCCTGTTTCACGGAGGCTTCAGCCAGGTCCTGCCTGAGGCTCAGGTTCTGAGCTTGGTGCCCCGTGGGCTGACTCAGGTGTGCAAGGTTGGACCCCCTCCCCAGGGGGAGGACGCAGTGATGTCATCTGCCCTAGCTGGTAGGGGTGGGGTTGCTCATTTTGGGGGGCCTGGAGGGTCAAGTTGAGCTGAGCCCCTCCCAGCTTTTGCTGACCTGCTGACTCGGGTGATGGCCTGAACCCACTGCCCACTGCACTGCGGGTACAGACCTTGCTGCTGGCTGGTGCCCCTTGTCTTCTGGGGACGTGCCGGGCTTAGGAGCTTGGAGTCTGGGAATGTCTAAGTTCATGCCCATCCCTCCCTCTGCTTCAGAGAGACAGGACTGTGTGCAGGGCCCAGGGGCTGCGGTCCCGCTGCCTCATCAGGCTGGCCTGGCATGGGGTGGGCTTTCTGTGATTACCAACGTCCTCCACCTCCTCCAGCCAAGGTGGAAGTGGGGGAGACAGGCTGGGAGGACAGACCTGTCCAGGGACAGAACGTGCCTGTGCCACCGGTGGCCCTGGAGAAAAGGCCTCAGAGATGCTTTCAGGGGATTGGGGAAGACAGCAGGTTTCACATCTGGCAGGGCAGGATGGGGCCTGGGAACCGGGTGCAGGGAGAGGGTGTGGAGGGTCCGCACAGCACCTGGGCTTGGGGCCGACATGCTGAAGGCCCAGCTCGGGACAGGGGCAGGGGTGAGTTAGGACTGGGTGGGGGGTCTGCAGGAAGCCGTGGACCACGTGGGGGCTGGCCCAGGACAGAAGCATGGCCCCCCGCCCCCACGGGCCACTTTGGCCTGAGCCTGCTGCCCTGGGAGGGGACACTGTAGGGCTGTGTGCCCGGTGTCCCTCCCAGTGGGAATGGCCGGCAGGGCTCAGAGGCTGCTGTCGGCCATGGCCTCGGAAGGATTCAGCTTTTGGGGGGGCTGTGGGCATCGTGGACAACTATGAGCCCCCCAGCATCCAGGAGTGGGGGTGGGGCGGGCCTGGCCACTGGTGTGAGGCCTTAGCTGGTGCCGGGCGGACAGGGCTGCCGGGGCTCAGGTGGCCCACCTGCCTCCCGCTCTGGGCTCACGGAGAGGCCCACCCGCTGCTCGTCCATCCGCTTGGCCTGTGCCCTCTGGATGAGGCTGAAGAAGTCCTCGTCCGGCACGGTGGGGCCTCGGGGCAGCACGTCGGGTGGCGGGCAGCGCTGGTCGTCGATCCTGGAGGACTGGGCAGACATGCGCACACAGGTTGGAGGGCCATCCCAGTGCCGGGCCCAGTTGTCAGCTGTCAGCTCCAAGGGCAGGACCGACCGCTGGCGGTGGACACTGGCTCAGGAGGGCTGCTCTGCACTGTGGGGGGACCTGGCCTGGCCACCTCAGGCCTCCCGTGTCCACCTGGAAATCAGCTCCGGGGCCTGCCTGGCTCTGGGGTCTTGTGCTGGGAGCCCTGACTCACTGAGAAGTCTCCCAGGGGCTATGTCAACCCGGAGCCTGGAGCTGGCCCACCCAGCAAGAGTGGACTGAATGATATTTGCCAGGGCAGCCTCCAAGGCCTGTTCCCAAGAACTGCTGATCCCCAGGGACCGGCTGGGGCATGGCCGTCCCCCAGCACTGCCCTCAAGGCTGGTGCAGCCCTGTGCTGATCCCAGCAGCCTGTGGGCCGCAGCTCCCAGAGCCCAGAGTGTGGACCTCCCCAGGGCTCCCCCTTAGGTCAGGTGGCTGACCCTGGGCGTGGAGGCCGGGGGACCGAGGGGGCATCCAGGCTTCTCTGCAGGGCCTGCAGCAGACGGGACGGGGGCCAGCGCAGCCACTGGCACGTGTGTGCACGTAGATGGGGGGCTCTGGGCTTCTTGGGAGGGGCTGGTTTTGAGGTAGCTCGTCGGACACCTGGCCCAGGGCTGTGGGTTCCTCTCCTCTGTGGAAGGAGCATCAGGTCTGGAAATGTGCTGGCTTTGTGCATGGGGGGACTAAGTTGCTGCCCACCCACAAATCCCAGCAGCCTGTGGGCCGCAGCTCCCAGAGCCCAGAGTGTGGACCTCCCCAGGGCTCCCCCTTAGGTCAGGTGGCTGACCCTGGGCGTGGAGGCCGGGGGACCGAGGGGGCATCCAGGCTTCTCTGCAGGGCCTGCAGCAGACGGGACGGGGGCCAGCGCAGCCACTGGCACGTGTGTGCACGTAGATGGGGGGCTCTGGGCTTCTTGGGAGGGGCTGGTTTTGAGGTAGCTCGTCGGACACCTGGCCCAGGGCTGTGGGTTCCTCTCCTCTGTGGAAGGAGCATCAGGTCTGGAAATGTGCTGGCTTTGTGCATGGGGGGACTAAGTTGCTGCCCCCCCACAACCCCCCCAAGCCGTTATGAGTGTCCTGACCCTGAAACCCATCTACTGGGCCCCTCAGCTCAGCATTGTGCCCCTCCCACCCCGCCCCCACCTTGCTGGCCTCCACACTGGTGAGAGGATGTCACTGGCTGCACATCTGCCTTGCCTCTGCCCTGTCTACTGTGCCAGGTGCCCGCCTGGACCACCCCTGCCTCTGCCCTGCCAGTCGGCCGGCAGCCCCAGGGTCTCCCTGCCTCCCCACTCCGGGGTGCCATCTGGCCCCCGGTTTTCTCCACACAGATGTGGAAGGCTGGAGGGGATCCCCAGGGCCGTGACCTTCAGGACCTGGTGACCCCCCTGCTCCGAGCGCTTGCACCGCCAGTGGGGCCAAGCCTGAGGATGGCCCGGGGGGCTCTCATGTCCCCAGCAGAAGAGGGCTCCAGGTCTCAGCACCGTGGACATCCAGTGACACTGGGAGCCAGTCCCATCCACCAGCCTGTCCTTCCCCTCCCCCCCCAAGGGTGTCTCTCAGACACAGCCTGAGACAGAGGGCGCAGAGCCTGCCTCGCCCACTGCAGATGGCAAAGGGGCGCGAGTCCCTGCAGGCTGGGCTGGGAGGACAGGGGTGGGACTGGGCTGGACGAGCCCGCCTGGCCTTGGGCCGCAGCCCACCTGGTACTTGATGAGCAGGTTGAAGAGCTCGTCTCCCGGCTCCTGCGGGTCCCCGTCTCCGCGCAGGTGCCCCACGTTGTTGTGCGTGATGCGCAGCCCGGGCAGGCTGCCCACGCTGGCCCGCTGGTCGTCTAGCCGGCGGCTCTGGGAGCTGGCAATGAGGTCGAAGAACTGCTCCGTCTGCGGGGAGGCCGTCATCGTGGGCGGGGCTGCGGGACAGAGGGTGACGCCTGAGGCGGGGACCTCTGGGGACCCGACCTCTGGGCCCAGGCAGCCCACTTGGCTCCTGGGGACACAGGCTCCTGGGGCATCTCTGCTGACCGGCCCTGGGCTGCTGTCGGCTGGCTGCCCCTCCTGTGGCTCCGACTCCTGCCTCTGGGAGCTTTCAGCGGGTGACAGGAGGAGAAAGCCACGGCCTCCCACACCCGCTCTGAGACCACAGATGCGCCCTGACGCAGTGTGTCCCGGAGACGTGGGGACAATTACATGCTTCCAAGAGGACGCTTTGGGCACAGTGGGGGGGGGGCGGGGAACTCTCTGTGACAAGGGGCCCTGTGCAACTGGTCTGTTCTGCCCCTCACGGGCAAGCTCCTGACAGGCTCGCTGGGGCCAGTGATGGGTCCTACTGGAGACCCTGGCCAGGCGCATGGCTCTGAGGCCACACACCCCACATGCAGGGAGGGACTGAGAGCTCTGGGCTCTGACCCTGGGCCCTGCACTCACCAATCCTCTCCTCTAGGGTGGGGGCAGCTGTGGCCTCGGCGGCCCCAGCCTGACCCTCCTCCAGGGGACAGCGCTGGTCGTCCATGCGGCTGCTCTGGAACTTGCTCAGCAGGTCAAAGAAGCACTCCTCATCTGAAGACGGGGCCCTCGGGATGCTCTGGGGAGGGCGGGGGGTCAGAGCAGCCGAGGGCGCCCCTGCTCCAGCCATCGCCCCCCAGATCCCCGGACACAGTGGGTGCAGCAGCCTGCCCACCACACACACTTCCAAAACCCGGTGCCGAGGTCAGGACCCTCCTCTGCCACCTGCTGGCCACCCCCCCAGGATATGCCAGCCACCCCTGGCATCCACCCCATCCCCAAACCCACTTTCCCACGGCTGCTTCACCCTGGCTGTCCCCTACCCCCAGCCCCAGCCTCCCTACCCTGTCCCGGGCCACCACGCTCTGCCTTCCTCAGTTTACACATCCATATGAGAGGATTCTGCAGGGCACGGCCGCTCAGGGTCTCTAAAGGGGTGGGGCCAGAGCAGGCCCACCCTGTACCCCGGGCCTGGTCCCGGGCGCTGAGGTCTGACCAGTGGATGGGACGGGAGTGGTGCAGCTAGCCAGCCCAGCATGTCATTTCCAGCTGGCTGGTGGCCTCCTTAGGGCTGCCCAGAGCTGGGCTCACAGTGAGGCACGGAGGGACAGGAGAGACCCTGCCAGCGGAGGAGTCGCCTATTGAATGCTGGATGCTGCCCTAAATTTGGGATACCTGGAATTCCCAACAACTCAAGAGACAGGGACAACCACTCTCACCACCCGCTGCACAGAGGCTGAAGCACAGAGAGGCTGAGCAACCTGCCTGAGGTCACACAGGAGCAAGAGCAGAGTGGGGACCCAGACCCAGGCAGGCCCCAGTCCGGGCGCTCTGAGTGGAGGGCCCCGTGGATAACCTTATTCTAGGACTGGGCTCAGCTTGTGGGGGCAGCAAGGTCTCCAAAGGCAAAGGGCACCCAGCTGGGGGTCACGTGGGCAGGGAGGGCAGCCAACTGGGCGGTCCCATCCTGAATTTGGGCCTGAGAGAGACCATCCGGCTCTGGGCCTCAGGTCGCCCCCAGAGGGACAGGGCCAGAGCCAAGGCTGGGGAGGAGTCTGACCAGGTCCCCCTGTGGCCTTGCTCAGGTCTGTGCCCCACCCCACCCCACCCCTACAAGAGCCAGGTGGGAAGGGGGCACTGGTGCTGAGGGGCCCTGGCCTGGGGCCACATGCACTGGGGCTGTGGCTCTGGGACCCTGGAGGTCCAGGCAGGGGGCAGCCAGGGTGGGCCAGTATCTCCCTGAACACTGATGGGGGGCCTCACAGGTGCGTCCCCAGAAGGATGTGAACTCCTGGCCCAGAAGAGAGCAGTTCCCAGGCTGTTTGGGGCCAGAGGGCCTGTGGGCTACCCGGGCACAGTGGGGGAGGGTGGACACAGCACTGCCACTCAAGGGACAGTCCCTGTTCCCAGCCCCCAACCCCCACGTGTGGCCCAGGCTGGACTCCAGCAGGTGAACCCTGGGCCAGGTGAGGCAGGCCCCTCCTGGGAAAGCCAGGACCCCCAGGGGCTGGACCTCACCAGACTCCTCCAGCCTCTGCTGGGCTGAAACCCGGGGCTCAAGGATGCACTTGAAGGAGATGGGGTTTGTTCTGACACCTGCCCCTCCTTGCCCCATCAGCCAGAAGGGTGACAAAATGTCCATGTGGAGAGGCTCCCAAGGCCGCAAGGCGGAACCCGTCCCCAGCGTCCAAGACCTGGGCCTCCCCTCCCTGAACCTGGGAGCCTCCTGTCCAGGGGCTGATGCTTCCCTAAGACCGCAGGTGTGAAACTGCCACACAGCACCTGGTGCAGCTGGGAAAGCAGAGGCCCCTCGAGCCCCTCACTCAGAAACACCACCCTGGACCCTGAGACACATTCAGGGGACCTTGGGAGGCCCACGTCCCTTTCCGATGGTCTCAGCGTTCCTCCCTAAGTCTGACTCCGATCCCTCCTGCTTTAGTTTAAGCCCAGCTTCTCCCATGGAGGGAGGGAACAGACCCTGGCCAAGTCCACCCACCCCAGCTTCAGAGGCCCGTGTGCTCCCCGAGCCTCCTCCTGTGTCAGGGGCCCCCAGGGATCCCACACTCACGCCAGATCCAGTGCTGCTGCCACCACCCTGCCCTGAGTGCCAAGTGCCACCGCGTTGCCGGGACCCACGGTGTTAGCGAGGCTTAAATAGGACCCAGGCGAGAACTCAGCCCTCCCAGCTCCCGCCCTGCTCTCTGGAGCGTGCACACACGCGCACGCGTGCACACACACGTGCGCTCCGTACACTCCCCGCGGCGGGTTCCCCGCGTGCAGCCGCGCGAGCCCGAGCGCTCCCCTCTTGCCTGCGGGTGGCCCCGCCAGAGGGCCATGGGGGCCGTGGGGGCGGGAGGCCTATTTGAAAAGTCCTTTCCCGCTCACACCCAGCCCCTGGGCTTCTTGCCAAAGCTGGGCCAGCGGGGAGAAGCGGCCTTTCTCCTGCCCCGGTTTCTTGAAGCTCCCTGGTTTCCCCTGGGGAGCCGCGCAGGTGGCCGTCCTCCTCCTCCCGGGCTGCACAGGGGTTGTGGCCTGGCCCCCGACCCTGGGTCGGGCTGCGCAGCCTGGGTGACAGTGGCCACTGGCTCCTGGGGGATACGGAGTGTGAGCCCCGCAGGGGTGGGAGCGAGGATGGGGCAGTGACACCTCCCAGTGCCCTTGTCTGTCCCGCTCCTTCCATGGGTGAACTCGGGCTGCCCGGCTACTCTCCTCCCTGGGGAGGCGCAGGTCCCGACTGGCTCGGCGGGTCACGAGCTGGCCAGGCTGAGCACTGTGGCAGCAGCAATGTCCTCCCCACATCGTTCGCCACAGCCCGAAGCCCACCACGCTCTCCGCGGGGCCCAGGCGAGGCGCTGGGGAGGCGGAGGTTGACAATGCTGTGCCCCCTGGCCAGAGGCCAGCATCGCACACGGGCCTGGATGCTCCCCCTCGCCTCGGTGTGGGCACTCAGTCCACACGGCAGCCCGGCTCTGGGCCGGGACAGGTGCAGGGGCATGTGCAGGGTACCCCTCGTCCTGGCCAGCTTCCTCAAGCCCCGAGGGCAGGGCTGAGCTCGACGGAGGCCGGCGTGGGGAGCCATCAGGAGCTGAGCCTGCGTGCGCATCCCAGCCCTGCTGACACTCGCTGGAAGCCTCATGCCAGCTTCTTTGCTGCTCTGTGACTCAGTTTCCCTCCCAGGGCTGCTGTGAGGACCAAACTTGTGTCGGGGGGTGACCAGTTAGTAGAGGTGGTCCCAGACTGCAGCCACGGCTGGTGGCTGAAGCTTAACATGTAAAATAAAGTGGGTCCTCCTGGGAGGCTCCTCAGAGTGTACACCTGGCACCCAGGCAGTGCCAAGGATGCCTACGGCTCAACCGCCTCCACCATCCCAAGTCCTGCCTCTGGGGCTGCTCCAAGGCCCTGGGAGAGCAGGTGGGGCGGGGCGGGGCTGCTGGGCGGACACTGGAGCTAACGGGAAGACATGCTCATGCGGGGAGGCTGGAGTGGTGTGGGGTGCGGGTGTCACACAGAGACACAAGTCTCTCCTTCCTCGGCTCTGTGTGCAGGTCCTGCACCCCAGCCCCACCCTGCTCCAGCTCCACGTCACACCGCCACCAGCAGTGTGGACAGTGCAGGGTGGCGGCGATCAGTCCCAGGGCAGGGGCTGGTGAAGCACAGGCTAGGCCTCCCACTCCCCTACCTTCCTAAGTTTTCCCCAACCTTTGAGGCCGGCCCTGCCCTCTCTCCACTCCCACCACAGGATGAGTTTTCTGGGCCTCTCGGACCATACCCAGCTGCACCTCCTCAGACCCCGAAGCCCCCTCTGTGCTGGTTGTGAGGCCCCTGCGCTGCCTGGAGGGCTGGTGCCGGCCACCAACAGCCACGTTTCACAAAGACCACAGGCTCAGGGGCAAGGGTCCTCTCCCAAGGACCCCAGCAGAGGTGGAGGGGATTCCACCAGCCACTGGCCTCCCAGGAATGTGTCCCCAACCCACCCTCACCACAGTCCCCAGGCAGGACACCACCCAGGGAACAAGTGGTCATCACTGCAGGCGCCTAAGCCATAAGCCTGAGCCCCGAGAGGCCCCACCATGTCCCCACAAACCCCAGGAACACTGTTTTGTCTGGTGTCAAGATCTCTGCTGTCTTCTGGGCATCCTGCCCTGTGGGGTGGCACCAAGGGACAGGCAGTGATGCTCTGCAGGGCAGCAGCCCAGGATCGCAGAGCACCTGACCTGGCAGCTGGATCTGCAAAGTGGGACACCTGAACCATGTACCCCGGCCCTGTCAGCCGCGGGCACACGAAGCTTGGCAGGTCCTCTCATGCCTAGGCTTCCTGGAGAACCACCTGCCCCTCCAAGCCCCACCACCAACACACCACCAGCCTCCCGCTCCTCCCTTGTCCGCCCGGACGTGGCAGTCAGACACGGACAGGGTAGGAGCCTGGGTCCTCGTACTGTCCCCTCCTGCCAGGCCTAGGGAGGCTGGGTGGAGACCAGACACCCTCACCTGGGCCTCCTG